ATATTACCCATAGGCCACATAATATTATATTATTATCCTACTACAAGGAACAATATTATTCGATCACTATAACGATATTTTATCGCAAGTGCAATGGCTATACTGCAGGACGTGTTGTATTATTGTTACGGGCAAAGACGCGGCTGGTGGCACGCAGATATTGTATAAACATATGTTTATATATCTGTGGACATCACCAGCAGCTATCTATTTTTTATTTTTTCTGGTCAACAATATCAAAAAAACTATATTCCCCTATAACCAAATTGTCCAAATTTCATTATTTTCGGTTTAAACTAGGTATTTTTTTTTCTAATTAAATATTGAAAATGTGTCAGCTACCGATAAATCGCGCATGCTCTTATAAGTCTTACAGACATGTAGGTGGTATGTTTACGTAACGGCGTGACGGCGTAACAATAGCAACACGGCTTATCCGAAATCGGTTTTCGCGGGCGCGGCTTACACGTCGGGCCAAAGACGTTGTAAAATTCCAGGGTCGCTAGTACGCGCGGCTGTGACTCAACGCGGAAGGCCACGCCTGTTTTTGAAATTCCCGTTTTTCGTGCACGAGCATTCACTATCGCCGACCGCCGTGCCGCCCCGCGAACCCCGCCGCACCGTCAACAGTACCTATCAAAATGGCGTTCTCGTGCTCGTCCTTCTCGCCGTCCGAACGCCGTTGCCCCGCCGCCGCCGTGACGTTAGCGTAAACGCGCGCAGACACGAGTGCCGCCGCCGCCGAGCCCTTTGTCGTCCAAACAGAAACGCGATCATAGTATCATACTGCAACGTACGCGCGCGCGTACCAGACCGATAAAAAGTGCCCTGCCACAAGTAATTTTTACGATATTAAAAAGAAGCCAACAGGTTTTCAAGTAAACCGCTTCGGCCCCGTCTCGATACGTAAGCAAGACATGTTGTATTATTGTTGTTGTTGTTGTTGTTGTCGTTGTTGTTGTTATTGTCGTTGTTGTTAATATTGTTGTTTCGGTTTCTGTCTCAGACCATTCGGTCGCGGGTTTCCTTTGTTATAGGTACTCGCCCGTCGTTGTTATTGTTATTGTTATACGCCTCGTACGCCGTCGTCTTATCAGCCAGATCGCTCGCGATAAGTGTGAACCAAACGAACTCGTCTGACTTACTCGACTTAGGCTGCCTCTGTTTACTCGTAGGTGGGTACTGTTCGTTTAGGTGTTAAACCGACGGTACTTGGGTGCAAACGCAAACTATAGATTTCCACACCCACCTGACGAGTCTGTAAAGCCCATCGTTTTTTCAGTCTCCGATGATAACTGATCACTACCCATGTTCGTTGAATCCTTCCGTGCTCTATATCGATTCGGTCAAGACTCCTGATCGTTGTTTGTTGTGTTACACACTTCGCTACTGCACCTCCTTTTAGAAATTATACTCTATATCGACATTGGTACCGGTATGGTTTATCGGCTAGTGACGATACTATTGTATGTTTACGTTTAGGTACATGTTATTGACCCAGATTGTAGACTGAAATTACTTGAAAGTAATATTTATACACTCATAGAGTGAATATTTGAAATATCATTGCCCGGCATATGTGCACTTGATTCCCATATGTTACTACCAATATTAACACACATTCAATAATCTACCTATAATACCTACTTAATTATAAATTAACTAGTTTTTCCTTAACATTTGCAGAGGCATTTTCTTCAATTGTATACGAAAATGAGGAACACGGGAAATCTTTTAAAATGGACTCAAAACTCCAACAACAAATCAGCCAAAGGTGGAGGAGGTAAGTTAATCAATTATATTTTACAGTAGTACACATGTTTATAATAATATTATTTTTTTAAGAAAATCGAAATTGGATACATCCTCCTGAAGCTTTACAAAAAGGTCATATTGCGTACATCGTTAAGGTATGAACAAGGCGTTAAAATTACATTGTTCTCTAGCAGTAAATTTACTAAGTATTTATGATTTACAGTTTCTGGGAAATGTCGATGTAGACCAACCAAAAGGTTTTAAAGTGATCAAAGAGTCTATCCAAAAGTTAAAATTTAATCAACAAGTCCGGAAAGCCGAAGGTTCTAAAGTACCGAAAGTTGAGCTTACAATAAGTGTTGAAGGCGTTGCACTGCAAGATCCAAAAACAAAAGTAGAATTACTATTGTTATTGGTCTTTGAGTTTATTTGGTATAAATACCTATTGTTTTTCTATAGGTAATAATGCATCAATATCCGTTGCACAGAATTTCTTACTGTGCCGACGATAAGGTGGACAAACAGTTTTTCAGCTTTATCGTAAAAGACTCCAATGAATCTGAACGACACACTTGTTTTGTGTTTATGAGTGACAAGTTAGCTGAAGAGATCACTCTCAGCATTGGACAAGCTTTTGACCTTGCATACAAGTATGTTATCATTTAACTCAAGAGCAATAATAATTACTTTTTTAGTCTTTATTATCTTCGACTATTTGCTAAAAAAAATTTAACTTATGATTAGATGCCTATTTAGTAGCATTATTTGTTCAGTCTACCTATAATATTCACTTTTTATTACCAAAACAAATAATATTCAAACCATAAATCAGGTCATCCTCTTTTCCAGAGCTGTAGACTGCAGTTGCATACTCTTAACCGCCCAATTACATGCCTATGCTAATCATATTATTATTTATAAGAATATTTTAAGATAAAATCATTTTCTATTACTACATGATTCTATACTAATTGATATAAATTTTAATTTTTGAGAATAAATTATCATTTATAAATGTGTCCTTAAATGAAACTAATGTTTACTAAAAAATGTTAAGCACACCACACTCAACCAGTCAAATGTTTTTCTTATTTAAAATCTATTAGTCAAAATGTTAACACTGTTTGATAATCTAAAATGTTTAACTATTATATTACTAAAAACTTAGGCATTTATCAAATCGCAAACTTTAAAGTCTCTTTGTTAATTTGTTATCTATATGTATTTCCTTGTTAATTTATTTTAATGAAACATAACAAATTTAGTATGTGAATTTGTAATAGAATAGTCTAATGATTTAGGTATAAATAATTTGTTTATTAGAATTTTTCTTTACTCTTATGATTTTGTTTGTCAGCTGTCAATATAATAGCGACTAACATTAGTTTAATGTAGTTGTTGCATGAGTTTTTTTTTATAACTAATAATAGTGTGTAATAATTAATAACATTTAATTATCTGCACGGTTGAAAACATTCAAATGCCGAACTCTGCCTAGCCTACTGAAGTCGTGCCTTTTAGAATTATTTAATTAGTAGAAAGAATAAAAGAAAATACTTTGTTCTAGTAGATTAGATATTGCAGGGTGGTCAAGTTCCATAAGATAAATTAATGTCATATTATGAATATAAACAATAGATTGTCTAATTATTATATTATTGTTTAATCTAAGAAGTTAAAATATTCAGTAATATTGTACATTTTACCATTTCTGTCAAATGGTTACCTAATTAAAATAATAGTCTATATTTCGCTGCTTAATTTCTATCACAATTATTTTTGGGATATGCATATTGATCACCCTGCAAAGTAAAATAGTTTTTGTAAAGGAAAATAGTAATGTCGGATTGTTATTGTGGTAGGTGGCCCAGCAAGCCGACGAACAAGCCGACTTTCAGAGCTCGGCAGTTGGATGTTTCAAAACCTCTACCGATCTATATGTCTGATGATTTGCCTGACCTGCACGAGTGTATGGAATTAAAGCGCGCTGTCCCCCAAATGCCCAGTGGTATGGAAAAAGAAGAGGAATCTGAACATCATTTACAACGTGCCATGGTCGCAGGAAGTGTTATACCCACACCTGAAGTAGCTAAATTAATAAATAATGACTTAAAATGGCATGATCAAACATATCCTCCAGATTGCCACCCTCCGAAACAACTAATACACATAACACCATTCACAATGGAACAAGATGTTCCAGAATATGATTATGACTCTGAAGACTTAGAATGGCTAAATACGACTGGTAGATCAAATAGTATTACAGCTGATAAACTTGAAGAGCTTGTTGACAAATGGGAAAAACATAGCACTTACAATATTATTGATTTATCTGATGCTAAGTCACTAACTAAAGATGACGAAGATACCATCTTATTAATTTATGATTATTGGTTGAGGAAGAGAGTACGTGTAGGTCACACTTTATCTCCAGCTGTACGTACTGAACCTATAGCTGGTGCTCCTCCTAATGATTCATACGTAGCATTTAGAAAAAGGCGTGATAAAATTCAAACAAGAAAAAATAGGAAAAATGATGAAGCATCTTATGAAAAAATGTTAAAATTACGTAGGAACTTGGCTAGAGCATTTGATTTAATTGGAACTATACAACACAGAGAAACACTTAAGAAACAATTAGTACAATTAACTCTTGATACATACCAAAAACGATTTGATTTACGCGATTTTAATGGAAATATTTATAAGGATGTAGAATTAGTGAAAACTGTACGACATGCATTTACTCCAATCTCAACTAATCATTATATGTCTGGCATGTGGAAACAAGGTGATATGAAAAAAAGTTCTGCAAATACTAAATACCAGGATGCCAAAAGAGAAAAAAGACACTATAGAAAAAGGAAACATAAGTCATATGATGTGGATCATTTAAGTTCTGATGAAGAAATGTATTCTCCTCCACATAAAGTCCAAAATGTTGATGATGGTGGTGGTAAATGGTCTTTCCGTCGAAATAAGCATTGTTCTTACCTGGCCCCTCTTAATTCTCCGGAACCTGTGGACCCTACATTTGGTTTTCAACCAGTTTATATACAAAAAAATAAAAACCATAAATCTTTAGGTTTATGTAGGCCACGATATGGTAGAGGTGGAAGGATTGTTTTAGATCGTTACACAAATGATGATGACCGGTGGGCATCTTTGGATTATAATATAATTGAACAAAAACAATATGAAATGGTGGAGTTCAAACGTTATTCAGACAATGAAATGTCAGATTACTTTAGTGATGCAGATATTGACTGTCCAATAATGGAAATTAATAGTGAAATACAACGAGGTAAAACAAGGATAGAATTGAATTGGGATAATTTTGGCCCAGAAATTTTCCAAGGTGTAGCCGACATTTGTAAGGTTGAATATGATGAAATGAATAAAGAAAAGAATGAACAAGGCGAGTCCATATTGGAAAGATTTGTTAGTCAAAATCAACCGCAAGCTGTTGAACCTACTTTGACGCTGGGTTCCGATTCCGAAGTCGTAGGATGTTCACAATTTAGAACAACAGATATAAGTGAACCTAGACGATTAAGATCCACCAATTGTTTATCATTAAAAAGGCTATTAAAATGTGACACTGATTCCCATTAAATTTAATTATATATTAAGTCTTAGATCATAATATTTATTTTTTTATAAAAATGTTTATAATAATTATTGTACATAAAATTACATAATATATTTCGATAAATAAATTGACTATAATATTTTAATTATGATTTTAATTGAGAAATACTAACACTGACGGTCTAATATGATTTATTGAATGGTACCATTAAATAAATAAACATGATATATACCTACAAATTAGTTTGTTTTTCCCTTTCTTAGACGTTTCTTAGACATGGAAGTTCAACGTAAAGTTATGGTTTTGCAACAACGTGTTAAAGAGTTGGAAAATGAGAATAGTGTTTTGCGCCAAAGGCTATCTGATGCTCTTAGTGGAAAGGTAATAGAACAATATTCCTAGCGAGAATTTTTTTATATAAACATTTTACATAATATTTAGATTGATGTTGAACAATACATGCGTCAAAATGGTATCAGTGATATGATGCAAGTAAATGATGTGAACAATGGTAATTTGTCCACCCTCATCAACCTGACCAATGGCAATAGCTCTCCTCAACCTGGAACGGCGGCACCACCTGTGCCTCCAAGAAGTGTTAATAACAATGGTGACCATTTTAGGTTAGTATTTTTATATAATTTTTATAAACATGTTTATTTACAATATTTTGAATAGTTCTATTATTAAGTCTATTGGTGATAAATGATGATGATTCAATGATTGATCTATCAATTCTTGAAATGAATCTCTTAATTTTACCATGGATCAAGTTCTATATTTTACATTCCATTTTGACTGTACTGTAAACAAATGTGGCAACTAATAGGGTTCCATATATCATCGAAAATGTCAAGATGATAAATTAGTACATCCAACATACTTAAAAGTTAATATATAATAGTCACTCAATAATTCTAAATTCAGGGCACCAAGTTAAAAATTTGATTTATAGAGGTTTTCGATTTACCGAGTATTCGAATAATCGAGGGAAAACAAATTAATTAAAATTAAAAAGAGGTGAAAAATTGCATGTGTATATTTTTTATTATACATAGCCACATAGGTACATATTAAAGTTTAGATTAGGTAGGTAAGGTACGATAACATTTACAAACTACAATAATATTTAACCACCGTCGTTATTAGTTTCATTACCGAGTACGTCAAAAGGATTGTACATAATATTTATATATACATACATATGAACTTACATATTATAATCGCGTTTAAGGAAATACGAATTATAGAGGTTCGTGGAAAAAATTTGAATTGTAAGGTGTGTCCCACCGACAGACATTTCGAATTATCGCGGGGACCGGAATACATGTAATTTCTTCTAATTTATAGAGGTTTTCTCAGGGGACTCAGCGTTTAGTTCGATTTATGGAGTTTTTCAAATTTCCGAGGTTTGAATTATCGAGTGACTACTGTATTTATTCTAGAGTTTATTTAATGATTTATTATTTTGTATTAATTAAATTTTTAGGCTTTTTTATAATTTAATTTTTGGAAATGATCTCAAATAACATAAAATATTTCGTCTAAATAATATTATTTATAATTTTTAGTATAAAATGCATTTCACTAATAATAAAAAAGTGTAATATAAAATAGTTTGCTTAAATAATTGCTTTATTAGGTTTAACTCTGTTGCTTGGTGCAAGATAGGTCAATGTCACAGGAAGAATTTGAAATTATTTGACCGTTGTCATTAAAATTTGATTATGTTACTTGTGTTAAAACGGCCTATGTCTCTGATGCAGTATGACCAAATTAGATTTAACATTGGCCATTTCAAAATCAAATGATAAAGTTTATAAACTATAGAAGTTACTTACATTATGTTCAATTGAATATTTAGGTTTTAATAAAAAAAAGTTAAGTTTAATTATTAAAAATTGTTTATTTAAAATTTTAATTTTTGGCCAATGTCAAACAAAAATGATTTTTATATTTTTTTCTGGGAGCCCATGTCCAAATAAAATACACACATTTGTAATTAAAAACAAAATGAAAGTCATCCAATAAAATGAAAATAAATTTAATTAAATAACAGTATTTTTAGAGTCCTTACATTGATTTTAAAATTTTTGTATACATTTTAAAAATTTGTCAACTTGTATCCTTAAATTCCTAAACATTAAAATATGAAATGTTTTGCCATCTAGCACCAAGCCACAGAACTATAACTTAATCAATTATTTATAATAACTAAAAACAAATTGTAACTCTTTTTTTTTGACCATTTCTACAATGGCTTAATAATACAATTATTAATGTATTGGTACAAATGTTTTACTGAAGTTTTATTTTAGTTCATCCCCAAGTGAGACAAAACCATCTCCTAGTGTTGGTACACGACTTGAAGGTCTTTTGTTAAATGAAATGGAAAACAATTTTGAACCAAGGACAAACAATAATAGTGCTACCTCTCCTATATCGCCTCCATTATGTACGTATTACACAACATCTCTTGCCTAGATGAATTAGCCTTCTTTTTTTTTTTTTACTAAGCTTTTTTTTTTTTTTGTTTTTGTAGTGGCTCCTCCTCCAAAACCTGCTAGAGATACAGGACGCCGTTCTCAAAATTCTGATGATATATTTGGCCTAAGTCCGTTTAAAGCAACACCAAGACCAGCTGGTCAGCCAAGAACGTCCGCTAGTGATCCGTTTGGTATGGACGATTTTGGGCAAAGTGTACAAAATGGTATTGAAAGTGACATTGGTTTGTTGGACAAAAGAATTAAAGAAATGAAGGTAAGAATTAAACTTATGTGAAAAAATAAATACAATTTTCTTAAAATCTATATGATTGAGAAACTTACTATGATTAAAATCAATTTTGTTTCAGGATGGTTTCAGTCGAGGTTTATCAATGAGCACTGAAGATTTTTCATTAGAAAGTCTTGATCCATTAAAAAAATAAAGCTTTCTGGAACAAAAAAAAAAACCTAGGAATCGATAAGTAAATTTCATTATCCTTTGAATCTCTTAGAGAAAACAAACATGTATGTGATAAAATCATTTTATCAGTTATACATCATTCAAGAAATAACAAAGTATTATTATTTATTATGTTTTTAGTTATTATTGTTTGTTATATACATACCTATCCGAATAATGTCACTAATTTTATATTTTTATTATTGTTTACTGTTTAGTATCAAATTAATTGTTATACAATTTTAATTAAAGCATTTAAATTTATTTAGGAAAATATTGTTACTATAATTTTTTTATTACTTTTATCATCATTACTATTTTTTTAATGGATCTGTTGACTTGTTAACAAAGGAATAAATATGTTTATATAGTGTTAATATTATATATATTTATTTTTTTAAGTTTATGATATAATATAATAATCCTTTTAAATTTCTTTAACTTAATAGTGTATTTATTTTTTAGATATTTAGATTAATTCAGTATATTGTTATACAGGTTAGGTTATAATTACTTTTTGTTTGATATACAATAACGATAACTGTGCTTTATTTTACGCCATAATTCATTCCGCAGTATTTTTGTTTGCTTAAATAGGTTTTTTGGATTTTACAAAAAAATAATAATCTTGATTTATCAAACAATTTTTATTTCAAAGCATAAATTAACATTTGTATTATTCATACATATTATTTATCACAATTAAATTAAAATATTTGTAATTGCAATACTATATTTTGATGTATTTTGTTCATTTTTAATTTGAGGTGATTGAAAATATAAACATTATATCTATTAAGGATGAAATAAATGTATTATATTCAATGTGTTATACCTATGCTATTTTTGTACACAAATATAACTAAATTATTTTAAAATAATATAATATTTTGTTGTTTATAAAACTCCTAAACGAATTAAGGACTAAAAATTTTTATTAGATGATGTCACAACTGTTACTGATGAGCGTTAAGTGATTTATAATTTGGATATTGGTATATTATTATCCAGCCAAATAGATACTGTACCATTAAGCGGACGATACAATACATTTGTTGTCTCCGTCTAACAAGTGCATAACATGGCAAATTTTACGCTCAGCAGAACACTTATCTTTGTTAGTTTAAAAATTAGAGCGAATTGACCTCTTATGCAATTTAAAGGTAAGATTATTATCTAGACCATGATATAGGCTTTTTATTATAATTAAATTTTAAGATGTAAAAACAGTTTTCAATTTTAAAATACACATAACTCGCTTTAAAACTAGAGTATAATAACAAGCCTATATCATTGTCTAGATAATAGTGTTACCTTTAAATTTTATAAGAACTCAATTTGCTCTAATTCTTAAACTAATGGAAACAAATGTGTTCTGCTGAGCGTAAAAGTTGCTAGTTATGCACTTGTAAGACAGAGACAACAAATTTCACTGTAACGTCCCCTTAAGATAATATTGTGTGATCTATATACCAATAATTATATACTCATAAAGTTATATGTATAACTTTTATTGAATAAAAAACAAAATATAGTATAACTTAATAAACTATATGTCTATATAATATCTGTAGTTTATGTATCTATGTTAAAATATAATGTATATAAAATAAATAATTTAAATTAAAAACAGTATAATAACTTTAGTGGAGTCCAATACACGGATGTACATATATTTTAAAATTTAATTAAAAATATGGATCTTTTGAAGTATTCTTTGATCTCTTCATAATATTTATATGGTACTAAAAAAGGTTTGGCTGTTCCACGACTGTTTTTGTTACTAGTAAAGTAGGTATGGGAAAGTGAAGCAGATCCAATTTTTTTGGCTGTGAGACTAGAAAATTTCAGTTTTGAAGTACTTAGTAAAAATGGTTCAATCTTCAATCATTCAACTTTAAATGTGGTTTCTTAGTAGTTAAAAGAAACCTGAGTTTTCACTATAATATTATACTTAAATTAACATTTTCTAATCACTATATCATTTTCAAAATATTTTTCTTCTATGGAGGGGGGGTGGAGACCCGGGACACCCGCCCATCCCTTCCTGAAAATACGCCACTGCTTTAATAGCAATATTCATATAATATACCTATTACCTAGTAATATAATATAGTCATAAAATAAGCAGACAAACTGTCTTGTCAATTGTATTTCGGCTGAAATGGTTTATCATTGAATTCGAATTTAACACAGATTCTCATTATAGTTACATGGATACAGGGGCGAATACAAGGGCCCCCCCTTAGGTGTGGGGGTCAGATCCCTCCCATTGGCCTTTTTTAAAGTTTTATAAAATAGTGTTCTTAGTGTTATAGCTCGTTACAAAGAAATATAAAAAATAAATTAAATAATTTGTGTAGGTACTATAATTGTTTAATTCAGGGTCGTCATTTTAACTTTTTGAAAGGTATTTATACTAGTTAGGTAGGCTAAACAATTTTCAGCCGACCAATATATTATGTACTATTATACCTACTATTATAATTATTACAAAAAAAAATGTTCTAGCTAGACTCAAAAATAGATAGGAATTTTCGTAATATTTTACATATTATAATAATATAATATATTATGAATATAGGTGCTATATACCTAATAATACTAAGTAGTAAGTCTATACTTAAATTATTTAAACTTAAAGTTAAATATTTATAGACACTATTGTGCCTATAATTATATATTACTTATATTTTGTTGTTTATTGTTTTAATGTGCAGGTACCCTAGATATAAATTTTTTTTTGATTCCCACCATACGAAAATTATGTATACGCCACTGCTTGGGTGTACCTATACTCAATGACGAGGTTGTCGACACCTATACCTACGACTGTTCAGCTGTTCAGCAGAGAGGTTACCTACTTTCCTCTACTTTTTTATTGGTTAGAATAACATCATGCAACATGCAAAATGCAAATTATTTAAGACATCAACTATATTATAATACCTATCTACGTAGTTACTATTTATTAGCTGGCGTTAAGTAAATAATAATGATTTGCGTACCTAATCGTATACGAAAAGCTAACTGCGTTTATAATTTACTGCGTATCCAATAAATTACTTCGCTGTAACTTTATTAAATTATCACCTATTATCGAATTACCGAAGTGATTTTCCTGATGTAATTTCAATTTGCATAAGGAAAACCCAGTAATAATATTATAGACTAAAATATAGGTAGGTACTCTGAAGAATGCAGGTATGCCATTTGTCATTTGAGTTACCCGCCGAGCATTTATTTGCATTGTACTTGATAAATAATATTTAATAATAATATTATGATAGTAATAGCCATAATGGTAGACTGCAATAGGTGTTGTAATATTCCTATCGGTTTATTATAGGTACAATAATAATACATTCGTAACATTAACATTTTTGTTTTTTAAATGGTAAGATAAATGATATGATATTATTATTGATGTGCTTTTATGTACACAATATAATAAGTAATAACCATTGAAGTACTCATATATTTAAATTTTGATTATATACACATACCTACCTACTTTTTTTTCCATAATATAATTGTTCTATAAATTAAAACATATCGTAGATTATTAAAAAAAATAATGATTATGGCTTGGAAAATAAACGGATTAATGAGAATAAGCCTTCCAGTGAAGGATTGTCGGTTACTTATATGAATTTATATAATATTATATTTACAACAATATTATAGATAAAATTTGGGAATTAGCTAGGTAGCTAAGCATTGGTCCAACTATAGGGGGGGGGGCTTTGGGTCTTTAGCACCCCCTAAAAAATCGTTAGGTGTTAGGTCTCATTGAATCACAAAAAAACCTGGAGCCCATGGAGCTTAAGCACCCCCTAGTTCAAATGTCTAGTTGCGCCAATGTAGGTAGGTTAGTAGGTCCCGACGGCCGACACCATGGCCTTTTTAATCTTTTTCTGTGATTACCGGGTATATTTGCTAACCCAAGTCCTTAGAAGTACCCTCCAAACAGCCCCACCAGGATACCCATACAGGGTGTACGCAGAATCCTAGAGTGAAACTTGATGGCCCTAGGACCTGTACAGCCTACATGAGCTCGAAGCCCAATAAACACAAAAATCGCATAGTTATTATAAATAGTGATGGTAATATATTATGATGTCTGATATATAGGTATGTATTATAGAAGCTAATAAAAAAAAGATAATAATTATTTTTACTTACAAATGTTTTTAAAACAATAAAATTAGTTACATAATTATATGCTTAAAATGTTAGAAATGAACTGGTCGATCCTTTGTTTTATGAAAAATAATAATTTATCAGTTTTTTTAATGTCATGACTCATTATTATTATAGGCTGCTATATTTAGCGAAATTGGTCCATCGACCCGGAAAATGACCGAGAGCAATATTGGCACCACTGCCCTCGTATGGACCTGTGGGCAGGGACTGACTGGTCCAGGGCTCTATAAACCAAGTAGCGGCCCTGGCCCTTATTCGTAAACCTATATATGACCCGATTGCCTCACTGTCTGGCCCTATCTTAAATTTAAGTGTAACTATTGTAATGTATATAGCTATACCAACTATAATTTCCTATTTTTAGTGAATTAAAAAAAAAATACAAGGGCGCTAAATCATTTTGCCCCCTACAGGACCAAAAATAGCGGGTCTTCCCCAGCGTGGGGGAGGGGGGGGGCAGCGCCCCGGCCCAAAACGCCACTGCGGCTGTACGTCATTGCAGCTGTGGCCTGTGACGTGAACACATCAAAACGTCATAGCTTCCTACCCCTTTGACACCTCTGGTCGAAGGTGTACCCAACTACTACCGATGACGTCAGAACGACGTGATCTGTGCGTGTCCGTAGTTCAGGCCGAGGCGCAATCTCAATACATATTACATAAGTAGGTACATTATAATAACATGCGAATAATTGCAACGCGCAGAGACTGTATAATAATAATATTCCGGATAGCTTATTTATTAATATCGTGTATAATTATATATTACACACAGCTGCTGCTGGTCATGCCTATTATTTTATGACCACCACCGCGGTCCACGGCGGTAGCCATAATATAATCTAAATATTATAACTGTTAATCTGTTAATCTATACCGCGGTTATCTCAATCGCGTTTCGACTGCGATGACGGTTCGTCGTCGAGAACGCCGTTGAACGGACCTGCAGTCTCGTCTATACGACTCTAGAGTGCGCCCGCAAAGGCACAGCGAGACCTTTTCGCGATGCCGTCCAACAGGCAACGTAAGTATTACAACCAAAAAAACGGTAATATTTCAATATCATATAGTGTATGTGTAGGTTATGTGACATTATAGAGGGTTAGACAAATCGCGGGATTTAAAACATTATATTATTATATATTTATCCTACCTAGTACCTACCAGCACTTTCCCGCTAAAAATGCCAACTCTATAACAGTTGTAGGTCCTTTGGGAAATCGATTAAAGAAATCTTTTATATGAATAACAATAATAATGCGTTAAATATTTTACAACAATTATATAGGTAATGACACTGTAGGTACTCTGTAGATGC